GTTCTGGGACACATGAAGATACTAGGACTGGGAGCATACCATGCATGTATACAGAAATATGAAGATAAGAACCTTTTATATTGAAAACTGAAACAAAATGAATAATTTTCCAGAAAAAAAGCCAGTATGACATGAACAAAAAGAAGAAAAATGCAAATAGACTAAAGCAATTATGTACTTTTAATTAATAGTTTAAACACACATTCAGGCATATGTACAAGTATTATTCCTATACATCACCAACAGTCAATTAGACAAAGTCATTCTTTTAAAAATATAGTACAATAGCAACAATGAATTAAAGACATTTAGGAATAAATCTAATGAAAGATATATAAGGGAGAGCTATAAAATTTTAACAAAGGATATAAAGAAGATCTATATAACAAGTACCCTGCTCATGAAAAGGATTTCATACATAAAAATGATAATGCTCCCCAAATCATTCTATAAATTCAGTGGACTCCTAGTCAAAATCCTAAAGCAGCATTTCACATAACTTGACAAGGTGATCTTGAAATTGAGGTGGAAGAGCAAAGAACAAAGAATGAGAAAGAAGACTTGGAATGAGTAGATCTGCCTATGAAGAAACATTATTATAAAACTACACTTAAATCCATCTAGATAAGGGCAAACAGAAAGTGTAGAAGCAGACCCACTCGGAAGAACTTGGTATTGGTCCAGAGCAGCACCACAGGGCTGGGGAACAATCAGAAGTGATGCTGGGGCTGCAGGCTGCGAGCTTAGACCCCACCTCATTCTACAGAGACTGACGGCAAGCAGGTGGAAAATGAAACTTCAAGTATAGCAAATATTTCCAATTAGAATTGACTATGTTAACATTAAAAATTGGGACTTAGGATGTAGCTTAGCGGTGAAGTGTCCTTCTAGCATGCTCAAGGCCCTAGGTGCAATTCCTAGCACTGAAAAAATAATGTTTCAATGAAAACTTTTAAGCAAGGCATGACGGTGCAGGCCTCTAACTCCAGCTACAAGGGAGGCTAAGGCAAGTGGAGCACAAGTTCAAACTCAGAGTGGGAAATTTAGTGACTCAGCAAGACCGTCTTAAAATTAAAGAAAAAAGTTTTAAAAGAGCTGAGGATGTAACTACGTGCAAAGGCCCTAGGTTCACACCCCAGTAACACAGTAAATAAATAAAAATAAATTTTAGATCTAGAGAAATGTAACTCAGTGGTTGAGTAGGTGCTTAGCGCATATAAGGTCATGGTTGAATCCTCACCACTGTAAAAAACAAACCAAAAGAAAAAGCATAAATGATGTGAAAAGATAAATCTCAGGATAAAGAGGACATTTGTTTCCCACCTATAACTAAAATATATTCATGCCCAGAATATGTACAGAACTTGTATAAATTGCTAAGAAAAAAAATTTAGACTAGATGCAGGAAATGCTCAAAAACAAATGTCTAAATACTCAATAAATGTAAGAAAATATACTCAACCTCACGTAAAATAAAGGTCAAATGCACAAATTCAAAATACATTAATACAATGACATTGCAATTCAACAGATAACCAAAAATTAATAAATCTTGCATATCAGCATAGATGTGGTCACAAATAGATTCTTCTATATTGCTTTTGGAAATATTAAACTGGCATAAATACATGGTGTGACAATTCGGCAATACTGGGTAGAACTGAAGATGTGATTTCCTTGTGACCAGCAACCTCCTTTAGGGATCTCAGAAATGCCAAGGGAATGCTCAGCCTGATGGAAGATACTCATTATATACCACTGTCCTAAGAGCGGAAAATGTGTGTACCAACTACTACTGGGGTTCAGAGCCTCATACCCAAATTATAGCTCCATGGTATATTGAAATATTTTTAGCTGAAAAATATAGAAGCAGAAAAATCACTCAACCTTTCCTCTCCCCAAAATGGTTCCTATAAGAAATCTCTGACCTCCCTTCCCTGAAGGCAGATCAAACTACTTGCACGTCACTGGGGCCAAGAATGGAACAAACAGCTCTTGTCTAGCTCTGGTCATTACCATCAGAACACACCTCTGTCCCTCCGTCACTCTTCTGTACAGCTGCCTGCCCAGCCTGAGTTGCCTTAGTTCTTTGTTTCTGAAGGCTCCTTTGTTATATGAAATTTAAATGAATCTGTTCCTCTTGTTTATCTGGTTTTTGCTACAATAATCACAGCCATAAACTATTAGTGGAAAACATGGATGACTAAACTGGCTTATATAAGTAAACTTGGACACAACAGAGTTTTTATTTCTACATGGTTCAACATGGATAAATCTTAAGTACATAATTTTGAGTTAAAAAGAAAAAGGAAAGAAAGTTTCAGAAACATTTGTTCATTGTCATGCCAGTTGTTAAAATCTTAAAAACCCACAGGATGTCCTCTAAATTGTGGAAGTAAATATACAATATTTATGTATATAATTTATATACACATGCACACAAATGCCTGAAGGTCACCTTGCCAGGGGTAACACTGGGTACACTACCCACACTGCCAAGATGCCACCCATGTTCCCACACTCACGGTTTGAGCACACCCACCTGTTCACCTTAGATGCCTTCTACAATGCCAGTAAGCTACAGGTTCCATGAGGCCAGGTCTGGATGCCAAGGAGTACATAACCAATGATGGAAGAGAGCCGCCAGATCACAACTCAGCAGCATGTCTAGCCATCCCTCAGGGTCTCTTAGGAATTGAGCCCAGGTCCCCTTGGAAACAACCTGCCAATTCCCACATTCCAAGTTGACTTCCTTTCCTCCCCAGGATCATTTTTCTCCTTCCTTAGTTGCTTCTGGGATCAGTTCCCAAAGAAACTACTTGAGCTCCAATCCTGACCCTGAGACCTCCTTCTGCAGATCTCCAACTACAATGTTTACTAGCACTGGGAAAGGGGGTACCTCTGGAAAGGGAAGGAGGATGGACAGAGTGCGTGTTTTCACTGCATCTGGGCTTCATTTTCTTATTTTAAAAAAGAAAGAAATATGAAGTGATTATTAAGAAAATGTTAGACAAGGGCAGGCCAAGTAGCTCAGCGCACTAAAGTGCCTGCTTAGGCAGGTGCAGGGACCAAGATTCGAACCCTGGTGTGCTGTGCCAGTTCCACCCCCGGTGGAGACTGGGTGTGGTGGCACCACCTGTAATCCCAGCGATTGAGAGGCTGAAAACAGCAGAATCACTATGAGTCCTACTGTGTAGTGAGATCCCATAGACCCCGTACTAAATACATAAAAGAAAATGTTAGACTAGTAGATTCATGTGTTAGTCTTGTATACTCTCTGGGCTTTAAATATGTTAAAATTGTGAACAAAAAATTCCAAATAAATTAGTGCGTATGAATCAGTGGAAATAGGAAACTGGTTCTGCATTTAATGAGACCCTGCAAGTCCTTCCCTATGATGTGTGAGGCTCCGGTTAATTACAGTTTTAGATTTTGATTTTAAAATATCAGAAAATACCTGGGACCACGTAAAGCAAAGTGAGGTATCCGTGAACACTTAGAAAAGTAGGTGGCAGAGATGAGGTACTGTGTGTGTGTTACAGTCCAACCCGGCAAAGGAAGATTCATGATGCTCAGGTATTATTTCTTTCTCCAGCACCCTCTCTTGGTGTTCCTGTTGTAAACTGCACCATTCTTAAATAATCAAGTATGTCCCAGGTGTGAAAAAAGTAGCAATAGTGTTTTATTTACGATGCACAGCTTTTCAAAACTGGCTTGTGACTTGTGTTTTCTTAATTACCACTCTTGAAGTTCTAAATAATGCATTAATTCTGAATTACGCATTGAAATTTAAATGTATTTTAAAATGCATTACATGTACACACACACACACACACACACACACACACACACACAGATGCATGACATAGCATCGTCTACCATAGAGCCCATGAAAGGTGATTTACAGCAATCTCTCGAAAGCTGTCACTGTCCTCCATTGACAGTGACCATAACTGTGAGGCTTACTCAAAGAACATAGGAAAATAAAGACATTCATTTTTCTGGTTGTGTTGCAGTTAAGATTTAGAATTTTACTGCATAAAGACAGGACCTCCCATCTTCCAGCTCTGCTTTCTCTTTAACTCCTGGGGCCACAGCAGTGCATTCCTAAAGCAGTATCTTTTTCAATATTAACAGAATCCTTACCTCCACAGGGCTCCCAGCACAAAGGATAAATGCAGGGTATGTCCATGGGGCAAGAAGAGCTATCCCACCAGTACAGGGAAGGTGCATCCCCAGGCCAGTGTAGGGAGGTTGATCAGGAAGAGCATGCCTGCCCCTTCCACTGAAGGCAAGAGACAATATGAGAAGAAAGAGTCCCCTGACTTGGGGAATTTGAGTCTTGAGTGCCCTTGGACACAAGCACAGCTTCCCCTACGACTGTCTGACATGTGGCTAGACAGATGTAGAGGTGGGATGACAATCTTCAGCACTACCAGTGAGGGTCTCACAGGGTAAGGATGCCTGCCGTCACCCTCACTACAGTCAGCACAGCAGCACCTTCAGCACCCCAATCTCATGCATACACTGCAGGGTCACATGAGGCTCATACCTCATCTCCAGTGAGTAGCTGCTGACCAAAGGACTGGCCAGATCCTTTTGCTGGAAGCCAAGGATCAGAGAAATGCTGACCTGAGGGCAGCACTTACAGAAATGCCACACAAGCAACTGAGGTAGAAGCAAGCTTTCCTGTAGTCCTCTGGGGTGTATCCATCAAACAACCTCTTTTAGAACAAATAGCACTCTGGATCTGTCATCTATATTCTTCTATGCCAATTTTCTGAAATGCCTTTTTAGCAACACCACAGAACATGGGTGCTGTCTAGAAATCTAGCGACATGACTTAAATGTGTCCCCAAGTCAGAAACTTAAATCATCATCAAGGCAATGGTACTGAGACGTGGGACTTTAAAGAAGAGATGGGGTACCAGGGTGGCCTTTGTGAATTATGTTGCTATCACAGGAGTGGTTTCACTAACACAAGAGTGGGTTTGTCATTACAATGTGTTCAGCAGTTGCTCCCCCCTCTTCCCTCTCTGTTCCACTTTCCCCTTCGCCTCTCCCTCCAGGTCACCTTCTACAAAGGAATGACACAGGAAGAAGGCTCATGCCACATGTCAGCACATAGATCTTGGACTTCCCAGCTTCCAGGACTGTGAGAAATAAATGTATTTTCTTTATAAATTATCTAATCTGCAGTGTTGTGCTGTAGCTACACAAAATGGACCGAGATATACAGGATCTTCTGAATACTCTGAAGATCATCTGCCATCTCCTCTCATAAATGACCTAACATGATCCTTCTGCAGGGTATGTGTGTCCCTCACTAGCCTTTAGTGGGAAAACATCATAGCAATTAAGTTCCTTCTCCAGCCCTCTAATTCTCTCTCTCCTACTCTCAGTCCTCTCATCAATCTAGCCTTTCCCTCCTGTTTCGCCTTTTCTCTGTGAAAGAGCGATGTCTCCATTCTGAATGTCATTTCATTACATTTCTAAAGGAGCCATCCTGTATCCCCAAATTAACTCTGTTCTGGGGGAAGTGTAAATGGCTTATCAGTGCACAATGTACTTTGTCAAAAATAAATAAATAAAATTCCTTTGTAACGTGTATGTCTTCCTTGTTGTGCTTGGGGGCCTCAATTAATGTCAGAAGCCTGGCAGTTCTCTGAACACGTCCCTTTGACTGTAGGTGCTGGCGTGACAATTTCAGATGTGGGGTGTTGCGTTCTGCACTCTCCTCTCGCCCTTGATTTCCATGACATTCTCACACTCGTTCCCTGCTCCTCCTGCCATGTGACACCCTGTGACACCATGTGATACTGTGTGACACATGTGGTCTCTCTCTCCCTTTGTTATTACAAACTCAGACTTGAAAACTAGGGAAACAATATCCTTGTAACTCTGTTCTATATTTCTATAGTTACAGAATAATTTAGAGATGTTCTTAGAAATATTTTGGTTTGCTTTCATTAGTTCTTATGAGAAAGGGTCTTGCAGTGTAATCTAAGGTGACCTTAAACTCAATCCTCCTGCCTCTGTCTACCTGGTACCCAGATTACAGGCTTATGCCACTGTGCTCAGCTAATGATTAGGTCCTGAAAGAAAGCTTTGAGCACTGGGGATACAGCTCAGTAGCACAAGCCACCTGCCTCGTAAGCACAAGGTCCTGAGTTGGAATCCTCAGTACATTATAAATAAATAAAAGTCAAAGAAAGCCCTTATTATGTAATTCCAAAAATGATGGCTTCAGAACTAGAGGATGCAATGTTCATTGGTGCTTTCCCTTTTTCTTCTTTTCTTAATAGTAGCAAAAGGAGTTCCATTGTCAAAGTACTCAAGAGTGAGATAATCCTCATGAACTGCTACTGAGCAAGGCCTTGAGCCATATCTGCAATCCCAGAACCCTGGAAGGCTGAGCCTGGGTGGCTTAGCAAGGCCCGATTCAAAATAAAAAGCTAATAAGTCTAGGGTTGTAGCTCAGGGCAGAGGCCCTGGGTTCAATCTCTAGTATCACACACACACACACACACACACACACACACACACCCTGAAATTAGGGTTGAGACAAGGCAGACTGTCCCAGTGAGTTCAAGAGCCGAGGCCATCCTTTAAGGAAATAAGCTTCATTTGTTTTCTTGCATGGCAGAGACAGAAATGTGTGGAGTCCAACCTGAGAAAACAGTTCTGCGGTCAGTCCTAGGCCCAGGTGGAACCGCAGGGGCGTTCCTTGCTTCCAGAGGCCCCGCTGACCCCAGGCCAAGTGCAGGCAGGCTGCGGCGCTGCCCCCACACCAGCACCCTCACTTTCGATCTGTGATGTCGGGCGACCCCAGGTACAAGGCGCAAGCAGCACCAAGTGGGAAATCCAGCGTGGCTTGGGATCGCTTCCGGCAGCATAGCGGCCACACCGGGAGGTGCCCTGAAAACAGACCAGGCTGACAGCCGCTGGAGGGAACGCCGCTGCACGTAAGTGGAGCGAGTTTTCTTGTATCATACAGTCCAAGCGAGGAAAAGAAATATTGCTTGTTTCAAGGAATCTGACCTTAAGACTTCACAGAGAAGAAAGGCGCCAAGAAGGGTCATCCGTGAAGAAAATGCATTTCTCTTGGATTTTGAATGTCAGTCTTGTACATGGATCAGGCCGAGGCGAGCGAAGAGATCAGTAATTTGATTTTATTTTCCCTTCTAGGAATCAGCTTAGGCCCACCACTCTCTATCCTCAGTTAAAAATATTGTTGCCCTTAAGATAAATTTGGGAGGAGGATGAGGACCTGGAAGGATTATGGTTTTAAAACTTTAAAGCCTTTTCCTTTTAAGCACGAACTGTAATTAACATTTAAAGACTACGCCAGAATAATCCTTCCAAAACCAAAACAGGAGAGACAATGCAAAGCCCCAAGAGATATGCCCGGTGGCAGTCCAAAAGGATTAGGAGCAAGCCCAAGAAAAATCTCTGTGGCGACAAACTGCACCAGCGCCTTCACCTGTAAGCCCCAGTGAACGCTCCCAACTACGAAAGGGCAGTGCTGGAAGACAGAAAATACAGTCAGAGCCCCAGAAAACCCTTTCTTTCCTGCTTTCCCTAAATTTATAAACCCAGGAAGGGATCTCAAAAATCGTATCAGAGTAGTAGTTCAACAACTATAACCTTGACGTTGCCCCCTCGGGTGACAAGTCTGAGGGCGCCCACGAGTATTTCAGAGCATGGTTCTGCTTTGGTATTCTACAGCACCTGGAGCGCATCTACATAAATCAGCAGAAAAAAAAGAATTCTATTAACAGTAACAACTGCATCCTATTCAGTGATTGAAAACTGTAACTATGTTTTCCAATCTGCCCGCAGTGATGGAAATGCCATCGGGTGGAATGAAACACCATGGATTACAGCCCCTGCGCCTATATGCTTATGGGGCCCTCTTTGCATCAAAGCCAACCATGACTTGATTTTTAAATTGGTTTCTGAATTCCTGCTTGTATCACTGAATGCCACAGTGTATTTATCCAAGGAGAGCTCCGTAGAGGTGAAACAGGTGATCCATAGAGACTCCTCCATAACTTTTCCCAAACTGCCATTCATTACACATGTTCCATCTCATGAACCATGAATCATTTCATTTTTAAGTACTCTTTTATTTCCTTTAAATTTATCTAAAACTTTATTAGATTCAACTGGCACAGTCCTGACGGACAGCCCGCATACATTTGAAACCTTCCCAGTGGAGAAGCATAAAACATTTAAAATCTATATTTGATCTGACAACAGCAGCACAGTGTTTGAATTAGAAACAGATTAGACATAATTGAAGATAAAGAGGACGCAAGCACCACTCCCATTTTGGTGAAGTGGGCTTTAAATTACCAGATTCATCCAGAATACATTACCAAGAAACACTGAAGTGTTATCTTTAGACCGCCTTTTCTAAGAGTTTACAATTTCTCAGTTCAGTGAAGCTTACTACCAGCTTGTTATCAGAACAAAAAACGAGAAATCATTCGGGTCAGGGCACAGAACCGATCTCACCTCAAAAAGGATGCTTTTCCTTCTGATAACAGACACTTCTTTGGACAGCCAGGGGGCCACCGCGTGCCCAACCTTCCAGGGTCCTTCCTCTTTACAGGTGATTCAGGCCAGGCTTTATCAATAGGGTGACCAGACTGGCCCCACCTCCAAACCATAATTACACATCACACACCACCCACACATCCCGATTCCCCATAGTCACAATCAAGAGCACAGGGACATCACACACACACACACACACACACACACACACACACACCATGACACTAACATCTTGGCTTTGCCAGAGTCTTTCTACTTTTCTTATTAATAATGGAGTTGAACTCATTATGCTAAGCAAATTTACAAAATTTAATTAGTGAAAGTTAAATGAATTAAGTTATGGTACAACAGCATGCAGTATTTTTAGTTTTGGGCTTGTTTTCATATGAAAAAAAAACAAGCTTTGGAACAAAATTCAGGATTTAAAGTGACTCCCCAAAAATTATTTTCATTAAGAAGCAAGCTACTAAACATGAACTTCAGCTATGTTCAGATAGATAGATAGATAGATAGATAGATAGATAGATAGATAGATAGATAGATAGACAGGGAGACAGAGACGGAGACAGAGAGAGACAGAAATATTGCGGTGGATAGCTAACTGGTGACCAACTTCTTATACCCAGCTGAACTAAACCAGCATGGTGCTGGGTGCGGGAGGCCCACCTGAGGGTTACTGCCAGCAGTATAAAGGGGAACAGGAGAAGCTGCTGGAACACTGTTAGGGATGCTATTCTGAGAAGCTGTTGGAAGCTGCTAGTTCTCTTGGGCTGTTCTGCCGGAGGACCTTGTCATGCTGGCTTTCCCCATGACCCTTAGAGGAGCTTTGGTCTTCATCTCGAGCACTGGTTCCTGACTCTGGAAGTGAAAATGGTGCGCTGCTCAGCCTCATGGAAAAGCTTGTGGCATTGCTTTCCTGGTGGGAACTCGGCTTTCCTCATCGCTGGAGGAGCTCAGGACCTCACTGTTGCTGAGGATGGCCGTGGTACTTTTGGGGGAGCTCTGGTGCTTACCTTGAGCGTTGCTTCCTAGCTCCACTTCAGATCCCCCAGCCTGCTAGCAGAGATCCTTCATTTGTCTGGCATAGACTTCTTAGCTTCCACCCCTGACCTTTCGGCCTTTCCAGCACAGATCCATGAAGCAGGCCTGCATGAGACTTTGCTGTGAGCTCTAGGCCTCCAGTTGGACTTAGGGGAGGCTTTGTTATGAGCTCTAGGCCCTTAACTGGATTCTTTAGTGTTTAGTGTGTGGATAGGTTTCCTGTACTTGTTGTTTATAGCTCTTTGGGTGATACATTATAAAATATTATAAAATGTGTCCTGTGTCATATTGTTTCCCTTGGGAAAAAAAAAAAACCACGACAGATATCGTTTTCTAGTGACAAAAATAAAGAAAAGAAGGCCTGAGCATATAGTCCAGTGGGCTTGCCTAGCACAATCAAGGCCCTGAACTTCATCCCTAGCACTGCAAAAATGTAAATAAGGAGAGGAGACGCTGAATTATTTGAACAACTTGGGGTCCCACTAGGTTACACAAAGCTCAAAAACTTCATGTAAGCCCAATTTTGAACTCTAGCTTTTAG